CCTCCCCCGGATTCCGCCCCGTCTCGCAGCAGCCAATCCGAAGCCTTTTTCCTCCGGGGCTGGGCTCTGAACCGCGGGCGCACCCAGGGTGGATGGAGTTTGGGTTGCGTTCGGGAGGAAGGGTTTAGCGGATCGGCAGGAGCGAATACGAATCCGAGTCTCGGTTATCCGAGTGCTATCATTGTTGACGGAGTTGTGATGCAGAGTGAAGCCGAGGACTTACTCCGTTCACGTCCGTTATTCCTGGGCAGAGCGCGGAGTCTGCAGGAAGCATTCGTCGAAGATGTGAACCGAGAGAAGCGCTTCAGTTTTGCAAGGCTGTGGCAAGGACGTTGTTTTCCTCCTGCAGCGTCTGCGGTTGGGTACCAGAAAGAGTGGAAGGGTTTTAAATGGGACTGTAGGGGTAAGGTGTTATGGACGTCATTAAGAGGCTGGGTGGAGAGTAAGATCCGGATGCCAGAGGCAGATCGAAGCTAACATTAGATGGTGGTCTGGATTAGGGGTTCTGTGCACACACACACGCACAAGATTGCAAATGTGAAGGGGGGGGGGTCTAGTTAATTGTATAGATTCCTACCTTTTCAGGAAAAATAAAGTCTGAAAGGCTGGGAGGTATAAAGGCCGGATGTTCAAATGGTGGGGCCAGGCTTTCCATACAGGCATATCAAGGCTGTGACAGTAAGCACCTCTGGGTGAGCTCACCCTACAGAACAAGCCTTAGACATACTGCCTTAAGTTTCCCTGGAAGTTGCTGAAAATGCTTGGGAGTGGAGGAAGTAGCTGCCATTTTGTACAAACATTAGGTGCCCAAACCTCCAGAAGAAAAAAAAAATACTGTTTGTTTTTATTTTTGTTTTTCGAGACAGGGTTTCTCTGTGTAGCTCTGGCTGTCCTGGAACTCACTTTGTCGACCAGACTGGCCTTGAACTCGCAGAGATCCTCCTGCCTCTGCCTCCCAAGTGCTGGGGTTAAAGGTATGCTCCACCAAGCCCAGCTCAGAAGATTAAGTTTTATGAGGACTCAGGATTAAGTTTTATGAGGAAACACATTTGGGCAGTGTTTCAGCTAAGGTAGGATGGGGCTCTCACTGCACCAGCACAGCCTCCCTTAGTCCAAAGGCCCCAGGAAAGTATTGGTGAGGTCTTCACCCTGGAAGCAGGCAAGGCTTTGGAGTCACTGGCAGGAATCAGTATAACCTGTACTCTCAGGGCAGGAGACCAACTGAGGCAAGGGAGTTACTAGTGGAGACCCACACATTTCCAGTTCCCTTTTCAAACACGGCTCAGGATCTATAGGAGCAGTGATAAAAAAAAAAATATCCAGAATCTGCCAAAAACCAAGGGCTGGGGAAAGCAGAGGTAAATCACAATGGACCGCGAGCTCCTCCTGAATAAAGCTGGTAGGGGCTGTGGATATGTGTTGTATAATACTACCCTGTATTTGTGTCTGTTGAGAAAATATTATAATAAAGTAACGCAAGTTTGTGTTCTCTACAATACCAGCCCAGCGCTCCTGGGCACAGTCAACACTGTGAACATTGCTCCGTAAGACACTTACTGTAATGATCTTTTTTATCCTTTTGACTAGCTAACTTCTTTGTATATTGTAGATTGGCAAGATTTCTAGGTGCTAAGCACTTGGTAACAGGGTACTTGGTGCACTTTCTCATGGTTGGGTGGATGGCGGGTGGTATTTTATTTCATTTTTTTTAACTGAATTTTTTTATTGAACACCAAGCATGAAATAAATCTTTCTTGGGTTGTATTTTTGTTCTTGTTCGTTTTTGGTTTTGTTTTTTGTTTTTTTTTTTTTTCTCAGTTGGGCTGTTGTCAGAAGCGGACTGAGTGCTTGCTGTGCGAGCATGAGGACCTGAGTTCTATGCACCCGTGTGAAAGCCAGTTTGTAATCTGGCTTTGTAACCTGTAGCTGGGGTTGGGGGAGGCACTGGGCGATGGGCAAGAACATCCTCGGGTTTGCTAGCCAGCAAGTTTAGCCAGAATCGCATCCCAAGGAACTCTGTCTCAAAAGTAGTGTAGAAAAACGACTGAGGAAAGAAACCTGATGTCAGTCTCTGACCTCTTCAGATGTTTGCATCCCTGCCCCCACCCCCACCCCCGCCAGTGATGTATATGACTAGGTATTTGATAAGAAGGTATTGCTTGCAAGGGTCATCTCCTCTTCGTGTGTCAGGTTCGGAAAGAAACAGCTCTGATAACAGAATGATGGTCAGTCAGCTGAGGATGGGAGCGTTGTCTCCACAGAAGCAGCCGGGAGTGAGTGAAGCTTCAGCTGCCTCTTCCTGGTAGAGACGAGCTTCCAGTGTTTGCATCAGGAGGAAGGTGTGAGTTGGGCAGAGGCTCCAAACAGTCATCCTCAGTCGGGAGGAAGGCGATTGCCGCAAGGTGCACCTGTACAACAGGACACAACACCACCTCCACTGTTTCCAGTCTTCCCCACCACTAAGTCTGCTCGCTGACCTCTGAGTCACTCTCTGAAACCTTTCAAACACGACCAGCAATAAAGCCTCCTGGCTTCCCAGGACAAGGCAGGTAAGTGCTATATTTATCATACTGTGCTTTATGAATTTACTGTGGGGCTGGGATCCAGCTCAGGGCTTTGTGTATGTTAGGCAGTTGCTACACCCTTGAGCCCAGCCATTTCGGACTTCAGGTCGACTTCTGCACTTTGCCCTCTTCCTCTTCTGGCTTGTGAGCACTTCTAAGGACAGGTCAGTGTTGGATGCCCCTGTCTTCTCTGGGACTTGCATAGTGCCTGGTGCCTAGTAGATGCTCATACTTTAGTTAGCAAATCAGGTAAGAGAGTAAGATGAAGGATGCCGAGATGAAGAACACAGCCCCTCAATCCCAGATGATCGCCACATGGGATTAAGTGCCAGCAGCTCATTCCACTTAGGGGGAATAGCTTTGTGGGTCTGAAGCCAAGATCCGACTTTGATTCCTTCTCAAAGATCATCAGAAAACCATCACCAGAGAGTTCATGGTCCGTTGATGCTAGGCTGACAGTAAAATATATTCCGCTGAGTTCCAGTGTCTCAGAAGTGTTCAACCTTATGTTAAGGGGTAGGAGGAGTCCTGGGGATTGGAGGAGCAACTGTCCACCCCAGAGCTCCTGGATGTGCCTTGGAAGGCTTTGCAGTCATTCTGGATATGGCTCAAACTGAGCTGTCCTTGATATTAACTACGATCATTGAAGTCGTGCATACGATGTTATTGTTTTTCAGCATTCCACAAGTATCAGATAGTAGCAGTTGTGAAACAGGACATCGGGGAGATCCCAGACTGCCCAGCCAGTTTCAGTCTCTGGTGACAACACTTAAGATCACAGCCTCCAGAGGAAGGACTTCCTGTGTGCATATGTGCATGCGTGTTGTCTGAAGACCAAAAAGGCTGTTTGCAAGATAATAGTAATAGTTGGTGAGTAGACCGGCTTTTTAAAGCGTTGGCCACCGGGTCCTCACAGCAGGTACAAGAATCCTAAAAGTAGACATGTGTCTCTCAATAGTTCTCTATTCTCTGCACTCCCCTCCGCTTTTACTTCCTCACTGAGCATGTATCGTATTTACAGTTGAGAAAAGGGCAATTTCCATTTGCAAAAAAAAAATATTAAAAGCTTTCTTCTGTTGAAAACTGAGCTCTTGAGAGAAGCATCGCCCTTGGGAACGAAGGCTTTTATTTTAAAGTAACTGTTAGACCAAGACAATAAACACTGTAACAAAAAGATGCAATCAGGAGTTTGAAAACATGGGATCAGATGGACTCACTTTATTGAGGAGAAGATTGAAGTTCAGACGAGTCAAAGGCTCCATCAAGGTCATTCGTGAGACTGAGGGTAGAAAGGACTGAGGTCAGATGTCCGCCTTCCAGCCCTGTAAGCTTTTCCATTTTCAAAGGCTGGCTGTTTATAAATACTCATTGGGTTGAGACAGTCTCTTCTGATTCATTTTAAGGTAGTCCTTAGACATTTTATTGGGCAAATCTGTCATTTGTCCAAATCCATAGAGAGCACTTTCTGAAAAGCCGAAGTGCTTCCCAAATTGCTGAGTCAGAGAGCAGGTCAGTATTTATGATGCTCGAGTTGATTCTGTGTATTTCCCAGTACCCAGAGAAGTGTCTCAGAACCCAGAGAGCTAATTAAATTGTAACAAAACTCCATGAAGGTAGAGGCTGTCCTTGTGCCCCACCCAGGATCCATCACAGTGCCTGACACGCACACTAGGTCCTCCCTACAGATTTGCTAAGTGAATAAATATTAATAGGGATGAGGGATATTTTTCCAGTCCCTACCAGGTAACGTCAGGTACTGTTTCCCACAGGTCTCCACTGACCTCCAAACTGGCTTACTTAATAATAACTGCCTGACTCCCTGCGATAGCTAATGGCCACCTGCAATGTATGCAGGCCACAAAGTAAACTCATGAGGGCTGGAGAGATGGCTCAGCGGGTAAGAGCACTGGCTGCTCTTCCAGAGGACCTGGCTTCTGTCCCTAGAACCTACATTGTGGGTCCCAATCGTCTGTATAACTCCAGCTCTAGGGTACCTGACACTCTTCTCTTGCCTCCTCAGGTTCTGCATGCACTGG